ATTGCACCTGCAGTGCCTATTCTATGCTGTACCGAACCGATTTGGCTGAAAACCATCCCCAAATGCCACAAATGCCCCCAAAAAATAAGTTTGTCAGCACGAACGGCGAGAAAGAGGCTCGAAATCGCACAAAAACCCCGAAGTTCACAAAGCAAGTATTCATCTCTCGCACCACCGATCGCCGCCATCTTGGTATCCTTCGAAACGTCAACGCTTCGCCTTCCCGCTTTCACGCATTCCAAATGTCACCGGCAAAGAAGAAACGCGCAAAAAGCAAAAAAAAAAAGCACGTGGTTATACCGGCAATCCGAGGGCAGTTTTATAAAACGGGGCCTCCGATTGGCTGGCACGCTGCCACGCTGTAAGGAGGCTCCCCATTGGGTGCTGTCACGACACTAGAGGAGGAGCCGCCACGGTCGTCTGCATCGAAAACCATGTTTCGTGCACGTTTTTTTACACTTGTTGCAGACACGCCGTTATGGAATTTCGCTCGTTCAAAAAGAAGTTTTTGACGACTCACGCGTTTGCAAAACGGAAGCGGAAGCTTCCTACGGCGAAAAAAAGGCGGCGGTTAGCGGGAGCAGTGGAATATCCAGCGACTGTGCTAGAATCGACGGAACACGGTCAACGAAGGACGCATCCGGTGCTTCCCCTAGTACAACGACCCTCAACGCACAGGCACTCGCTCGCGTAGCTGACATGAAATTGTTGACTACCGTTCGAATGAAAGATCGCCGTCAAAGTCCGCGAAAGTGTACCCGTTATCTACGAGCGATCTTCGTCCGTCGACAAGCTTCGACATGAACGATGACACTGAAACCTGAGAAGTGTCATTTCGATTTCAAGGAGCTCCAATTTTTAGGCCATGTGGTGAGCCATGAAGGTGTTCAACCTGATCTTGATAAGATTGCGGCCGTCAGAAAATTTCCGGTGCCAGAAGACAAGAAAGCAGTCAGGCGTTTCCTTGGCCTATGCGCATACTACCGAAGGTTTATTGCCAATTTCTCCCACATAGCCTCGCCGTTAACACGACTCACAAGAGAAGACGTTTCATTCCCATGGGGCGACGATCAACAGGCGGCATTTGACGATCTCTGACAATGCCTGCAGACTCCGCCTGTGCTTGCTCACTTTGATGAGGATGCTTCTACCATGGTCCACACAGATGCCAGCAACGTGGGTTTAGGCGCTGTACTCGTCCAGTGGCAAGACCAGCCGAGCGTGTAATCACATATGCTAGTAGGACGCTTTTTCGCGCCGAGTCCAACTACTCCACAATGGAAAAAGAGTGTATTGCTGTCGTATGGGCGGTTATGAAGTTTCGTCCGTACCTCTATGGTCGTTCCTTCCACGTAGTCAGCGACCATCATTCCCTCTGCTGGTTGACCAACTTGAAAGACCTGTCTAGTCGGCTCGCACGGTGGAGCTTACGCCTTCAAGAGTTTGATATGACGGTCGTGTATAAGTCCGGACGACAGCACGCCGACGCCGATTGTTTATCAAGGTCACCGATAAAGCGCGACGATGACACAAAAGATGACAGCATGGCGTTTGTAGGAGTCGTCGACACCACTACGATTTCGTGCAAGCAGAAAGAAGACAGTGAGTTGCTTCCCCTTATTGAATTTTTGAATGGCCGGACAACAACCGTCCCTAGAAAATTTGCAAGGAGCCTGCCGTCATTCTGCTTACGTAGTAGTGTTTTCTATAAAAAGAACTTTTCTAACAGAGGAAGCACCCACCTACTTGTCGTTCCAACGTCAATCCATGAGGACATACTTTGTGCTTGCCACGATGAGCCAGCGTCTGGTCATCTCGGATACACACGCACATTGGCCAGAATCCAACAGAAGTACTACTGGCCAAGACTTCCAGCTATTGTGAAGCATTACGTGCGCACGTGTCTCGATTGCCAACGACGAAAATCGCCACCATTAAAACCAGCTGGACTATTACAACCAATTCAAGTGCACACGCTACCTGTTGCCCAAATTGGAATGGATCTCCTCGGACCATATCCGACTTCCCATGCTGGCAACAAGTGGGTAATAGTCACCACTGATTATCTTACGCGCTACGCGGAAACAAAGGCTTTGTCTGTCAAGTGGCACCGCCATTGAAACCGCACGATTCTTGGAAGAAAATATCGTCGTGAGGGACGGTGCTCCGACAATCATAATAACGGATCGAGGTGCCGCTTTCACGGCCGCGCTCCTAAAGACAGTGCTTGAGCTCAGTGGAACAGCCCATCGGAAAACCACTTCCTATCATCCAGAAACCAACGGCTTAACAAAACGCTTCAACAAGACTATTGCTGACATGTTGAGTATGTACGTTGACGTGGATCACAAGAACTGGGACGACATTCTACCGTACATCACGTTTGCCTATAATACAGCGCAGCAAGAAACTACACGAAGAACGCCGTTCAGCCTCCTTCATGGCCGTGAAGTCACGACAATGCTTGACGCCACGTTACTGCACAACTGCAATGACATCGATTTGGACGCTGCATCTTTTACCCAACAAGCAGAAGAAGCGAGGCAGCTTGCACGTGTCCGAATCACCCAGCAGCAAAATTACGACGCCCAACGTTACAATCTGCGACACCGACATGTCGTCTATCAGTCCGGCAACAAAGTCTGGGTACGGAGTCCTATCCGTCGCCGGGGACTGTCTGAAAAACTGCTGAAAAAGTATTTTGGCCCCTACACAGTTTTACGCCTGAGCGACGTCAACTACGTAGTCGTTCCTGACAGCCCCTCGACAACTCGCGTTGTGCGAATGAAGCCCTATTTTTCGGACCGATTTACACCATACATCTACTACACCATCTTTTGTAGAAGGACGCTGCTCTCTGGAGGGGTGCAAATGCCACATTGAATATGCAGCACCAAGAGAACAATGAAGAACACGCACAGCGAGAGAAAAAAGACGAGGTTCTCTAACGATCAGTTTGCCAGTGTTTTTGTACAATTAAAGTGAGTTTCCTGTATTCAACTGCTGCTGTTTCTGCATTGTGACAATATGTGGGCTCGTCTGTATAGCCGGTTTTTGCGCACATTCTGCTCTACGGCGTCAACCTTGTGACGACTATTCCTCGTACCTTGATTGATTGATTGATTGATATATGGGGTTTAACGTCCCAAAACCACTATATGATTATGAGAGACGCCGTAGTGGAGGGCTCCGGATATTTAGACCACCTGGGGTTCTTTAACGTGCACCCAAATCTGAGTACACGGGCCTACAACATTTCCGCCTCCATCGGAAATGCAGCCGCCGCAGCCAGGATTCGAACCCGCGCCCTGCGGGTCAGCAACCTTAGCCACTAGACCACCGCGGCGGGGCTATTCCTCGTACCTAAGAAAGTAAGAGAGCTCAAGCCAAGTGACTATGTTCTCATGGACACTATGAGCAGAGAGGGTCTAAAGTTTTTCCCAGCCATTTGTTGTGCAAGCAGTATTGTGTACAGATGGTTTTGGAGCAGGTAACTGCGAATGAGTGTGAGCACCTATACGGCTTCAACCTTGTGATGACTGTTCCTCGTACCTAATAAAGTAAGAGAGCTCAAGCCAAGTGACCATGTTCTCATGGGCGCTATGAGCAGAAGGGGTCTGAAGTTTCCCCAGCCATTTGTTGTGCATGCAGTATTGTGTACAATTGTTTTGGAGCAGGTAACTGCGAATGAGTGTGAGCACCTATTTCATGCTGAAAATAACCAGAGGCTGGCACTGCTAAGCATCATGAAATTCCTCGTGGCTGATAGTGAAGACACCAATGCTTGCGCAAGCGGCCACTGTGCAGACGTAGTCAGGGAAAATATACTGAAGCCTGCCATCAACACGTTGAAAAATTATGCAGTTTCCAGAAATGATGGCGCATGCTAAACTAACTAAGCAGAGAAAACTTCAAACATTGAAATGAACTTGTAAAGTCATCCCTGTAACACAGAGCAATTGAATTACACCATGATTGTGTCTTTTATTAAATGTGCAAAGCGTACTAAAGGACAAGTGCAATGCTTATATGGCTTTCACAATGATTGTGTGTAGTACGTGGCAGACATCTCAAAAACCTCTATTAAATGCTGTTCATGTTTTATAAATGTTAAGTGCTTGTCCATATTTTACCTCCTGCCCCCTTCAAATGTATGTCTTTTTTCACATCATATTCTTACAATTTCTTACTCGCTGATTGTGCTTCATGGCGAATGTCCAATGCAAATAAATGATCCTGATAACGCTTCGAACTGCTCTTTCATGGGCTTTTTGTTATTGCATTGCTATAGTATTACGGTGGCCAGAAAATTTTGTTTTCTACATCCCCGCATGCTAATTTCTTGCATCAATGGTTTAATAGTACTACGCGATAGGAAAGCTGTAACGAGCACCTTCAGCTGTCACAGTATTAGAAAAGAAAGCCCCAAATAGTTTGAAGCAAGCGCAGTTCGCGCCTGCTCGCAGGTAGTAGCTGCGCGAGCGGCGCAGCAGAGGAGATCGGTGTGGTGACGTCAGGAGGAGAGTGCACGGGCCTTCTCAATAGTCAAGGTGGGTCTGCCCTAGCGCGGAGCTGAAGGGAAGAAGGAGGTCAGATGCCTGGGCGGGTCAACGATTTCTACAAGAAAGGGGAGGCCGGCTGACGCGCACGCTCGCGAGAGTTGCTGCGCGGGCGAGTCCAGTAGTTCTAGAAAAGTAGGGAAAACGGAAGACTTGCTCCCACACACGTATTGGCAAGCGGCTCCCGGGAAGCGCAAAGCCAGAGTTTTCAATTACCACGGCTGTGATGAGACCTAAACCGTCACACGCTACAAAATCTTGAGATTGACGTTTATCAAAATGATCAGTAAATGCTCATTCTGAACAACGAATATATCAGGAGCCGTTGCTATTATTGTTCTACGTAACTGTAATTTTCACCCTATACCTTTTGTTCGATATACAAAATAATTCATATAGTCTCTGGTGCCACTAAATGAAGAAGGCCTCGTGAATACCCACCTGGGCATTCCTGGCCGAGAGCTCGGAGCCGGCCTTGACGAGCAGGGAGACCGCACTGCTATTGCGCACGTACACAGCCCAGTGCAAAGGCGTGTTCCTGTGGTAGGTGTCACACATGGTCAGGCTGGCGCCCAGAGTGATGAGCAAACGGCAGGGGTCATTCCTACAGCAGCAGACAACACATAAGTCAGGCAAGCCGCTACGCACCATAATCCATCATTGACAAGTACTGTAGATTGGGCATGCCGGCGCACGATGAAACTGTAAGGTTATAGCGCAGCTTTCTTTCAGCGTGAAGAAAGAAAATACAGACACTCAGCATTCATCCTGTCGTCTGTATTTCTCTTGATTGATATGTGGGGTTTAACGTCCTAAGACCACCATATGATTATGAGAGACGCCGTAGTGGAAGGCTCCGGAAATTTCGACCATCTTGGGGTTCTTTAACGTGCACTAAAATCTGAGCACACGGGCCTACATTTCCGCCTCCATCGGAAATGCAGCCACCGCAGCCGGAATTCGATCCCGCGACCTGCGGGTCAGCAGCCGAGTACCTTAGCCACTAGACCACTGCGGCGGGGCATCTGTATTTCTCTTCTTCACTGGCTTCTTTTCTTCACGCTCAAACAGAGCTGCAATATAACGTTATGATTTCTACCATCATTATCCTTACATGCTACAGTGCCCATGGCCATCCTGCAGGCATAGACCCATTTTACAAGCTGGCTAGCTGCATCAGCGGCATGGATGGTTTGATTGATTGATATGTGGAGTTTACGTCTCAAAACGACCACATGATTATGAAAGACGCCGTAGTGAAGGACTTGGGAAATTTCGTCCACTTGGGGTTCTTTAACGTGCAACCAAATATGCAAACGTGGGTCTACAGCATTTTCGCCTCCATCAAAAATGCAGCCTCCGTAGCCGGGGTTCGATCCCGAGACCTGTGGGTCAGCAGCCGAGTACCTTAGCCACTAGACCACCGCGGCGAGGCAACATGGATGGTTCAGTGTGGCATGAATGAAAGCATGCATGTTTATTATGTCCTACATTCGACAACTCTCAAACACCACTCTCAGTCAATATGTTCAAGAAATGATGTAGTGCTACAGAGGCTGAACCGCTGCATATTGATTTACTCAGCCTACATCAAGACATCATTTAAAGAGAAAGAAAAAAAGACTGCAAGCACTCAAAACGTGTTGCTACGTGATAGCCAACTGAATTGCAGCTGTCACAGCTTTACAGATCCACCTTGTCCTGCAAAGCTCATTATCAATAGTTGCCCATCAGAAATGCACAAATAGCTCTGCTACAAAGACAGCGGAGGAAGAACACACATGGAACTGGTGCGGCTTGTGGCCCGTATCACCATACAAGCTTGCCAAAAAGCTTAATATACACAGACACCAATGATATGCAGCCACATGTACTGATAATGAGGCATGTAAGATTTCAACTACCATGTAACATAACATCGCAAGCTATCGAATGAAGAAAAAGAAAAAAGTGGTTCTCATCATCGATTCGTTTCTGGCGAATGCTTAAGGGAGCATGTGAGATTTATTTTCTTTTTCGTGAATTTTACCTATGTCATCAATACTTCAAGAGGCGCAGGTAATTCCTACATTGTTAGATGATATTGATCAGAGTTGAGATGGCTGACACTTAATTGGAGACAGTCTTTGGAGCAGCAAAATTTCAATTTTGCAGCAGGAGAACCTTGCTTTGGAGCAGCTAGCGGCAATTAATATGTCATCCTGGGAGCTTGAAAATACAAAGATTAAGCAACATGGGGGCACCAGTGCATATTTTAATTGGCTTATAGTAACATAATGTTGAAACAGATTTTGAAGGAACTTTTTAAACAGATTATTGTCAGGTATGAACTGCTATACCTTTTTACATACGTGACCTATCTAGCCCTTGTAACAAACATGTGAAATAATATTTAAAAAAAGGTTTTGTTGAAAACTAGGGTCACCGGAAACATTTAAAAAAACGCATCACACTCAAAAAGTAATTAGAAATCGCAGCATATCCACGGAATGAATGATGATGAGTGCGGCAAAGCACTGGAGGGTTTCATCGCTAAACTGTGAACCGTGCGGGAATATTGCCAACTACACCATCAAAGACGTGACAAACACTGTACACATTTATAAAAAAAATGTCATTATTTGTAAGTGATAGCTATACGTCACTTCCATTCCCCCTTCATTATAACAGCTTTATGGCCGGTGAAGTGGTGGATCGGTGATAGGGCGTAGCTGGATGTTCCCAAGGACGAAGTAGCAGGCAGTTTGCAAAGGTGTAACTAAAAATCACCACATACAAAAAATTAATGGACACAGTGGAACAATCTATGATTAACTCACACCTAGATACAAGAACACGACCATCTTGAATTTCATATTGGCTACTTCTCAACAGTATTTGCTTTATGGTCGGTAAAACAGCGGATTGGGGATGAGGCAAAGTGGGATGTTTGCGAAGACTAAGTAGTGGGCAGTTGGCAAAGGTCGAACTATAGGCAGTCACGTACATGCATACAAGAAATACATACCCACGCCTTTAGGAGCTTCGGAGCTTTTAGGAGCTTTTAGGAGCTTTAGGAGCTTCGCCCCTAAAAAGTGTGATTGCACAAGAATCTTAGTTGCATAATAAAGGTCCTTCGCTTTGAGAAGAGCCTGACATATAGCGTGAAGAGCTTTTAACGGACAGAAAAACCGGCTGCACCACTGTTTGCGGCCACCTCGTGCAGCACCCCCTTCAAGAGTGCAGCGCGGGAGCCAAAAAACCTCCCCACACCGACTATCTCGTAAAGTGCGTGTGTATGATACTAAGTGATATGCGAATCGTACTGATAACACCTCTACATGCAAACAAGCACACATTATTAGTACGGCACACGTTGACCAGTTGTATTTTTTTATTATCGTAGGTCATCGCCGTCGATGTAGAACACCCGATAATACAAGGACTTGCGATGTTGCCTGCGCCGTGACTCGCATAAGGGACTCGCACCACGCTGCGCACGTAAGAAATTCGTGCCCACTCAAACGAACCGATGAACGTAGAGGCCAGCTTTCTTGCAAAAAATAAAAATAAGAGAAAAGTAACAAAGTCACACCACGGAACGGCCGCCAATCAAGACACTGATCGAACATAAAGCTAAGCCTAAAAGCGTGAGTAGCCCAGAGACTGCACGCAGCAATGCCTCTTAAAGCATTCGTTACAAGTTCATCACCATGTTTTAATTCCCTGACGGAAGCAAATCATCAGACCACACATTGTCAGAATGATTTCTGGCCAAAGAAAGTGTGTTTGCGTGCTACACACCATATGACCATTAGTCGTTACGCAAATCACAAGCATGTCTGGTTAGTAATGCCGTGACCTTACCATGTGAACGACATGTGAGAGTTACGTGACGGAGTAATTTTTTTACTTTTGATACCACGACCATGCCGACGAATGCATACTACTTCACATGAAAGGTCTTGATGCAGCAAAGTGCAGAAAGCAGCCATTTACAACAAATCGAATGCATGAAATAAAAGAATAGATATGAAGTTTGCAAATACAATAGAACGCGATAGTCATTTATTACATGCATATACCTGCTTTGTTCTCCTAGTTATCGTTGCGATATCCAGTTTATTCCCTTCTGCAGCACGTTCACGCTTGTCATTCTAATCGAAACTAAATCAAGCACCTTCATTTACGATAGGTGCGCGCAGAATGCATTCCTCAAATGAACTCGTAGGTGGGCACAGTTGCGGTGACAAACCAGCTGAAAGGAAATTAACGAAATCTCCGTTTGAAAAGACACAAACACATTCTTTGTTTTCAGTATTGTCATACAGTGACACAGTAATAAATATTGCCCAAATTACCCCAACGCTAATAGCAGCCAAAATATCCAGCACGCAGCAGACGCTCACCACTTTGACTTGGATTCCCCCGCAGAGAAAGCCCATGGGTCCGGCAAGACTGCGCCGCGAGGCGATAGTTCACCGCGAAAGGCCTTCGCTCCTTCCATGTATTTGCGCAGCGCTATGACACTCCCCTTATTCTAGGTCACTCCAATAACGTGACAAAAATCTACGACCTCGTATTCACAGACTGCCGACTGAAGACGTGCGAAATAGCTGCGGGATCTAAAAAGACTGTGTGGAGGACACCCTGCATGAAATTTTCAGCATAAAAGGCCACGATGGGTGCCGCGTTTGCTCACTCTGGACAAACAAGTGCATCCATGAGACCACTTCAGAGCAGTGTTTGAAGCAGTTTAAGCATAATCAGAAGGAGTTCCAGCACCGTTTTGTGACTGTCGACAAAACATAGATCCATTGTTACACACCAGAGACCAAAGAGCAGTCAAAACAGAGGACTGCATTCGGAAAAGCTGCTGCAAAGATGGTGAAGACTGTCACATCAGCCAAAAAGGTGATGGGCCCCCTTTTCTAGAACTCTGAAGGTGTGATCTTCGTCGACTACTTTGAGAAGGGCAGAACAGTTACCGGACCCTACTAAGCTGAATTGCTGGACCAATTTGACGCCAAATTGCGATAAAAGAGAGCGCGATTTGGTGAAGAAAAGTTTCTCGTCTACCATGACAACGTGCTAGCTCATGCCTGTCACCTCGGCCAAGTTGGTCGAGGAAATGTCATGAGAGTTCGTCAACATTTTCATTTGTCGGCTTCTTTGCGCCTACAATTTCGAACCATGATGAATAGAGGAGCACACCCAGGATATGTTCCCAAAGCTCTGGAGAGAAGTCAGGTTAACAAAGCTAGATTTAAAGAACTTTTGCCAGAAGACTGAGCTGGAAGAACAGTCATGAGAGTTCGTCGACATCAATACCCCCGTGGGGCTTGTTTCAATACATGAGAGTCCCATTCCAGGTTGCTTGTAGCCCGGCAATAATTTCACAAGAAATGAAAAACTTCTTGGGAGGTGGGAGTTTTGATTGTGTCGCCGTTTACTACGATAAAATTTTGGTAACAGGCGCTAATGACGACGAACACTGAGAAAATGTTGTGGGGGTCTCAGAAAGAGAGCCACCCTAATGGAACAAATGGACATAGTACAACCCATTGTGCAATAACCAGACGTGGCTACATTTATTGACCGCTTTTACATGATGGCAAGCTCCCC